CCCGTTCCAGACCCCTCTGGTCCTTTGTTCTTGTTCATGGGTTCATTAGAAGGAGTAACAAGACCAGAGTTTGGTGTACCTGGGTTTCCATTGCGTTCCAGCAACTTGTTTATGTTGTCTCTCATCTCATCCTGACCATGGAGGATCTCGTCCATCCTGTGCTTCAGCTCCTGAATATCCACTCCATGAGATTGGAGCTGGATTTGAATCACCCCCACTTGTTCCTCTACCTTCTTGACAGCCACTGCTTCCTTTGATGCTCCTCCCATTGGAAATTGCTCTGATACCACTTGTTAAGCTCCGTCCTGCTGTTCTTACAACGTTGTATCTAAGAGTAAAAATGGGATTTGGATTGAACTGGAGTTTTCATAGAATTAGGGATAATCTCACTTTCGAGAGGTGAGTGCTCTCCAAGTTGCCTAAGCAATTACAAATTTTCTCCTATGCAAACGGAAAACAAAACTCCCTATAAATACTGGAAAGAAAAGACAAAAAGGACAAATAGCAGCCATGAAAAGACAGAGAACATTCCACTCCCACTAAGGATGTCTCCCACGAAATACCTGCAGCAAAAAGAGCTCCTAAGACCAAATTACCCTTGGTCTGTCCCCTGCATTTCACTGGACTGGACCAGCCTTACTGGGCTGCCACCCATGGGCTTCTTCTTCTTCTTACGAGTGTAAACTTGACGGATTGGGGGCCTATCACATGAGTTGCTTCCGGCTATCCTCCCCGTCTAACTGTTTCTTTATTTAGCCCCCTTTGCAACCTCAAATGTCGGATAGATGACCACATGGGCAGTTCTCGCATTCCAAATCCACTTATGGTGAACACTGTCAGTGAAGTGAGTGAAGTGAGGTGTTGTATTTCTTCTGGCATTGAGTCCCAATGATCCCAACCTCTCAATTCCAATGAGTGAAGGTGGTTCCTTAACTTTTGGATGCCTTGGAGACTCGGGAAAGAATCCAGCTCCTTCGAGAACGGACCAAGTGTCAAATCATTTAAGAACTCAAAACAGTCAAACATTTCACGAGGTAGGGAAGTAAGTTTGTAGCAATCGGTAATTTGCAAAGTCTTCAAAGAATGACACTGGTTGGGCAAATTGGATATTTCTAAAAGACTCTGGCAGTAGGAAATTTCTAAAGATTCAAGAGATGTGAGGCCTTGTATGCTGTTAATGGAGACCAGACCATTGCAGCCCAATATCTCTAAGGAAACAAGAGGGTGGGGATGGCATTCATCTAAGAGAATAATCTTTGGGCAATGACGAATGACGAAGCTCTGGAGGACAGGGGATATCATTTTTGAGCTGTTGGGTGCTCCATCTATCCACTTTTCCAGTCTTTTCATATTATATAGTCGGAGCGATCGCAACGATGGAGACAAAGGCTTCGTTGATCCAGTAACATTGGAACTCCTTAAACATGTCAAGCTGTCCATTTTCTCCAACTTAAGATCCCGAAGATGTGGTAGGTGTTCAAGCATCGGAAGAGAGAGGCATCTCCAACATCCAGATAATGTGATATCCACCAGCTTGTCAAGGGGAGTCTCTTTCCCATGGATATTGATTGCCATCTTCATTACCCATTCTGGAAAATTATCACCAGAAAATCTTCTAATTCTCAATATTTTCACACCTCCAGGGGGTTGCAAGCCTCCCAATACTTCCTTGTCGTTTCTGTGGTCAACTCCATAATTTGTACTCCAATTAAAGTCAATCTCGTTCAAAATTTTTTTTCCAGATAAATCTGCCATGACTGCATCCTGTTTGCTACTAATATTTTCTAGATTGGAAATACAGAGCTTTCCACTGAGGTGTTTTAACCGGCTTAGCTCTTTAATACCGTGTCCATCATTTCTAAGCATGCCCAAGGAATTAGGCATTAATGTTCGAAGAGAAGTCAATTGCCCCACGATATTGTTGGGAATGCTTTCTTCAGATTTACAAAATCTTAGGCTTATCAAATTTTTCATGGATTCTGGAAACTTGTTAAGATGATAGCAATTTTGCAACTTCAGAGTTTGCAAGTGGTATAATTTACCAATCGATTCAGGAAGAACACGGATAGGCGTAGATGACAATTTAAGATACCTGAGATGCACCAACCCTCCAATTGAATCGTCTAACTTCTTAATACCATATCCGTTGAGTTTTAGGATGCGTATGCACTTTAATCGTTGAAATGAAAATTTCTTCTCAACTTCACCTTTGATGAACAATGTATGCAAACTTCTAGCCATTGTATTCTTTTCAATGAACATAGAAACCTTGGTGTTGAATTCATCATCCTCATTCTCTTCTTGGTAAAAAGCAAGATGTTTAGCCTGAGGGATACATGCAATGTCATCATTTGTTGCATCCACCAGACATAAGCTATCATGTTTTGAAAGTGATAATGAAAGATCATGCACCAGATCATGCATGCTACCATAATTGATGATGTGACCATACTCATCCTTTTTAACATCTTCAAACAACGAATTGTTTACCAAAATTTGAAAAATATCATTCCCCACATCCTCCATCTCCTTGTTTCTTTCCTCATCCGCTTGAACCAACCCTAAAGCCATCCAAAGTTGAACCAGTTCTTCCCTTTCCATGAGTGTATCTTTTTCAAAGATGGAACAATATGTGAAGCATTGCTTGGCCATAGAATTGGGGAGATTATCAAAGCTCAGTTCCAAACTCTTTTGAACTCTCTCCCTTTCATCTTCTAGATCCCAAACTTTGCTATTTTTGATGGCCAACCACTTCTCAGGGTCACTGTAATTTTGCAACATACCTCCTATTACATTTAATAGCAACGGCAAACCACGACACTTTTTGATAATATCACGCCCTATCTCCTCCAATTCAGGTTGTGGTGATTGTCCCGCTAGAAAGGCTCTCTCTTTAAAGATGTACCAACAATGATTATTAGAAAGACCTTTTAAAGGACATGAATCCATTGCCATAGCCTTAGTTCCGATGTCAAGTTTCCTGGTAGTGACAAGAATGCTACTTCCAGTTTGTGACTTCACATTTATCATAACACTACTAAAATCTTCCCAATATAATCTCTCTTCGTTCCAAACGTCATCCAGGACTAGCAAATACCTTTTTGCTCCTAACTTCTTTTCAAGATCTTGAACTAAATTAGCCATTGTTTCCGACTTAGGTTTCTCTCCTACAACAGATTCATAGATCTTTGCCAGAAGTGTGTTGATGTCAACCTTAACAGACACACACAACCAAGATTTCACATCAAAATGTTGCTGGATTTTTGGATTATTGAAGACGGACTTAGCCAAAGTGGTCTTCCCTATCCCGCCCATTCCCACAATAGGAACAATCGTAAGTTTTTCTTCTTTTTTTGACTCGGTTAAAAGGTGTATGATGCGCTCTTCATCCTCTTCCCTCCCAAAAATTTTGATTTCGCCTAAATTTGGAATTGTCTCCGGGTATGGACGATAACGAACAACAGGGCCAGGCTGTTCATTTTGTAGTCCCAACTCGTTTGCTTGTTTATTGATTTGAGACAAATTTTCATTAATGTTTTTGATTTTATGACCCATTTCGCTACGAAAGAAAAGATTTTTCAAGCTTGGGAGTGAGGGTACCTTTGTTCCCACCCGATCTCGCTTCTTTACCTCACGCCTAAGCATTTCGTAGTGAAACTCATCCACCACATCATCAGCTTCAGCAACCACATCTTTTAGCTGTTTCAGCCACTCCATGACACTCTGTTTTTGACCTTTCTGATTCTCGGCATCCTGTAACTTGGCACGAATCATTTTCAAGGTCCCTTCAAGTGCGTACAATTTCTCTTTGTAACCCCAAGCAAGGGCGATTTCATTGGCAGCTATGGAAGCTACCTTTTTCAGGATCGCCTCAGCAGCAACAGTAACTAAAGTGTCGGCCATTTTCAAATTTCAATGGTGTGTGTATGTGTGTTTGAGAGAGGAAAGATAGAAAGAGAGAGGGTGAGAGTGAAATATAAGGTCACAGAAATCAGGGGAATCCTATATATAGTTAGGAATAAAAGTTATCCATATATAAGAATTATTGTTTCTCTTTCTAGCCATTAAATTCTCTATGGATAACTAAAAGAATATCTGATAAAAAAAGAAGGAAAAAAATAAATGAGGGCATATTTTGTTATCCATCCACAGAATTTTATAGTTAGTTAACAATTACGCCCTTAGCTTAAATTTAGAGAGAGAGAGAGAGACCCAAGGATTTACTTCCAAACTCACTACGCTCCTTCCTTAGTAGCGCCGCGACAATCCTTCTACGGAGCTGCCTAACCAGTCTGTCATGTCAAATAAATCTCATTCGCTAATCCATCATTCATGTCACAAGGAATGCCACATGTATATGTTTATAATACACAACAAAATTGTGTCGGTACAAGATTGAGGAAGGCAGACTCTCACTCTTCTAATTCCAACGTTCCAATTTTCTAATTCCTAATATTCCAATTTGTTTATGTTCGTTCATATTAGTTTCTTTTATGTTTATATATGATTAATTATATTTGATTACATAAGTATATTATATATTTATATTATATGTTTGTTTATGTTTATATGTGTTCAATTATATTTGTTTATAATATGCTTGAATTAGTATCAAATAATCAGATATCTTCATTTTTTTAACAAAAGGGTATATAGTAACAAGATATCTTCATTCTTTTAACAAAAGGGTATATAGCATCGAGATATCTTCATTTTTTTTAACAAAAGGGTATAGTGCATAATACTAGCTGCAGACACACGCCTCAATAGATCTTTCAAATGTCCATGGTGGCTTTTACGTTATACTTCATACTTGTTTGCAAGAGTCATCTAGTCGTATAAGATATAACAGAAATTAATTCTAAATAGTATTGGTATCTAAAGCTTTCATGATGACTATTTAAACTGGAAATTTTCTTTAAGAAATCAACCAATCAATATGTTAATTCCAGTCTTAGTTTTTTAGTTTGAAAAATCATTTTGACCAGACCAGACATTTTAGGCCACATGCATCTCTGGTTCTAGGGTGGCGCCAAGTCGGCCATATGGCGATGATGTAGCAATGCCATAACAATAGTAGAGGAAGAGATTAAAGTATGATGTCTATCGTGCTTAGTTTCTACAAATTTAGTTCCAATTAAACACAAACATGGACCAAAGTTTAATCAATTCTACCATCACAACAATACTAAAAAGATCAAATAAGGGTTGTTAACAATGCAATACTGGCTTTATACATAATACCAAACCAAATCCTCCTACACCCTTTCTTCCATTAGTTACTGCACCAAAATAAACCAAAAATTAGTTTTAAAGTCAACTTAACTCCCTATTTTACTTGAAAAAGAAAAACTGTTTCTAATTTCAGAAATTGTATTTCTAATTCAACATAATATATACCATTTACAGCTAGCTCATTCAGCATTATGGGATTGATCATGCTCGATGAAATCCAAGGCCTCTTCCATGGTGACAACATTTACACGACTAACACGGTTTTTATGCGTGACACCATAAATCTTGTCAGCAACTTTCACCAGTTCGGACCTAAACGTTGTTGTAATGAACTGTGTGTTTGCCATATCAGCCAAACGCCGAACCATATCTACAAACAAACAAACAAATCGTCAACTCCTTCAACAATATACTTGCTATATTTGCAAAAAGACGTAAATGCCCTCAATCTGAAGTATGAGAGAGGGATAGGTTTATTACTTCCGACTGCTGTTCGGTATTGAGGGTCAAGTGCAGCATCGATTTCATCAAAGAGGTAAAAAGGAGCAGGATCGCATCGTTGTATGGCAAATATGAGAGCTAACGCTACCACGGTTTTTTGGCCTCCAGATAACTGCTTCATGGACTGTGTGTCACCTTGTCCAGTGAAAGAAACCTGAAATATCAAATATTATATTATATTAATCCCAAATAACAATCAATTATCATCTAAATGATATACACATACATACCTTCACTTTCACTCCAATGTATTTTTCAACGCGTCCCTCTCTATCAGGTAGAGGCCCATCCTCATCATAGTCATTATCAACAGGATCACCGTCCTGTTTTTTTTTTTTATAAAAAATGAAAATGAAAGAAGTTAGAAGTTTGAAAAAATGGAAGAAATTTATAAGTTGTATGACAAAAAACATATAATAAAAAAGCAAAGCAACCTTCTTCTTCATCATGATCAAAATCCCATGACCACCTTGGACAAGTTCAGAAAATACTTCTCGAAAATGTTTAGCCACACCTTTAAATGTCCGCTCTATAGATTCGTCCTTACGTTGGTCCAGCACTGATATAAGTTCTTTGATTTTCTGATACACAAAACACATTGTTAAATATATTTAAATTATTATGCTACTTGTGAAAATAGAAGGAAACAATATGAAGGCAAATATGTAAAATGGCAGGACTTAACAGGGAAACCTTGTTTTCCTCGCTTTCTTTGCTCTGTTTGTATTATTATGTCGAAGAAAAACATATCTAGTTTACCATTAAGGGCTTGTTTCTTTTTTTTTTCATTATGGGGCTTGTTTCTTTTTCACTTAATGAGCTCAATACACTTATGCATTGAATCTGGACAACTATATATGACTTTCTTTTTTACATAATCTTAAATAAAATAACTTAATGAGTTAAGGCAAAAAAAAAAATCTGGCTTAATATATTAAGACAGTAACTCTTTAGATATCTTCACTTCCTTTCACAGTAAAATTGATAAACTTGAACAAAATTAACAGACTTTGTGAAATTTGTTTTATGAAATGTAAAGATAAAATGGTCACTTAGTCTCATTCAGACAATTTAGTCTATCTAGAAAAGAAACAGAATTGATATATAAATCACAATATCTAGACAAGACATCTTTACCCATTCAGTCACTTTACCTATACAAGACTTAATGGGGAGGAAAAAAAACAGCCTTCAAGTGTTGTATGAACAAAGTCTGTTTCTTTTTCTGACAGAACAAACTGTCTGAATGTGCATAAATGACTATTTTGCCCATTAGGTCCAATCCATTAAGTCAAAGTGAGGGAGGGAAATGATTAACTACCTCATCACCAGCATCAAGCTCTTGTTGTCGTTTCTGAAGTTCTTCTCTTTGATCTGTAAAGTTTGCATATTGATCGAGTGCTTTCTTGTTTACATGACTAAACTGCTTTAACTGCTCATTGCACTTGTGCAGCATTTTATATAGTTCCTTTATGCTCTTCTTCTTGTGCCTGTAATGTAATGTAATGTATTTTCACCATGTTAAAAACACAAAAATAGAAACCACCTTAATTTACAGATTACTATAAAAAAAAAAAAAAAAAAAACTGTCACTTCAATATCCACATTTGCCATGCTTTAGACTAGGACTGGTATTGGTATCTGGTCCGAGTAAAGGACGTAAATACCCTCCTCATCCTCAGTCAAAAACAGCCCTAGAAGTTTAGTTACTTTAAATAAGATGGTGAAGAGAGGAGTACATTACATTTCAAAGGCATCTGATGATAAAGGACCCAGTTCTCTGATTTTCTTGTTGAACTCTTCTTGTTTTGCAAGCAAAATGTTTTTTCTACTAATAAGTTGTTCTGCTCTTTTATCTTCATTTTGGCGTGTCTTTTCATACTCCTCCAAACGACCCTACACTTAAAAGAAAATGTATTATTACCAGAGAACAGTTGAAAATCACAAAACATATATATCTGCAATCTTTCATTATAAATTACCTTTGAATCAGCCTTCTTCTTGTTGATTTTCTTGAGTTCCTTGTTGCGATCATCTATGCTTTCAGAAACTCCTGTTGATATTTGAAAAGAATACAATAGAATATAATGCTTAGACAAGGAAACCAATCATATTGTTAATTACTTTCTTTTTTACTTAGTAGACTTTATTGGAGACACGACTTAATTAAGATAGGACTTAATAGAGAAAGTCAAGGGAAGGAGGTTTTTTTCCATGGAGTCCCAACTTTTTTCACATTTGCTCTTCATTTGAGCTAAATGCGAGAAATAGCAATGTACTTAGATTTATATGCACATTATATATATATATATATATATAGCATTCAACTTCCATTTCTTTCTATTACAGCATTTTACTTTCTTTTATATGCGAGAAACAGACTAAGAGTGGTTACTTTTGAGCTGTTTTTTCACTTCTTCAACAGCCATTTTTGCCTCTAGAAGCTCCTGCTTCTTTGCATCAACTTCACCATTTAAATTATCAGCTTCTTGAGACTGTTGAACTGCCTCCAGTTCTTGTCTCCTTCTAACAAGATTTGTTGATAGATTCGTCTCAAGCTCTGCTTTTCTTGTTTCAATCTACCAATCCATAAAAATATATATATTATAAAAAAATATATATATTAATTATTTTTTTAAATAACTCCAAGCAAAAACTATTATATTAGCAAACCTCTACTCGGGTAGCTCTACTGGCTACAAGCCTTTCTTTAAGTTCTGCTATTTCAGGATTCAAACGTGAGAGCAGAGTCTTTTCCTCTGGGCTTAAATGATCAACAAGTTCTGTTCTCATTTCATCTCTTTTCATTTCAATATTATTTTTCACTTGCTCGATTTGAGTCTCCACATTTGCAAGCAACTTCCTCTGAAATTCAATCAAAAAAAGTTAAAAAAGAACAAAAAGATTGAAATAACTCATGAAGCTTAGCAATGGAAGAAATGAGGAAACCTTCTTTTCAAGAGCTTTAGAGATGTTAAGGCTGTGCTTCTTAGCATTAGCAACTTCTTGTTTAAGCTGTTCCACTTCTGATTTCTCATGTGCCAGCTCAGCATCATCTTTCTGCTGCTCAGCAACTAATGCATTGATTTCCTTGTCTATAAGTAAGGAGAGAGTCAAGTCATCACACTGTACAAAAGACATAAATGCCCTCATACTCATCATCAAAAACAGCCCTAGAAAAAAATGTCCACTAAAGACACCTTGCTTGAGAATATATATATTAAAATGAAAAAGAAAAAGGATATCTTGAAGTTCTGATCTGACATTTTGGAGTTCATTTTCCTTTTCAGTAATTGACAAGGCATTTTGTCGAATGAGGTTCATAAACTTAAGCTTTGAACGCCTTTTATCATAAAATCCACCTGTCATACCACCCTTTTTGCTAACTTGATCACCTGTAACAAATTAAAAAAATTAACAGAAATATATAAATGAAAAAAGAAAAGCAAAAAACAAAAAAAGGATAAAACAAAACCTTCAACAGTAATGCAGTCCAAACCATCAGTACGTGCAACACGAGTAGCAACATCCAAATCTCTACAAATCACTGTTCTAGCAAACACCTGAAAAATAAATAAAAAAATAAAAAACTAATATTATTATCACAGCATGAAAAACAGAAAAGGAAACATGGGAAACTGCTAACCTGAGAGAATGCCTGCTCATAATTGGGAGAATATTTTAATTTCTTGAGAAGAGGAATCACATCAGAAGTTTTTGGGTAAGTGACATGAGGAGCTTTGACACGATTAAGGGGTATAAATGTAACTCTACCACCTTTCTCTGCATTAAGGTGTCGAATTACTTGTGTTGAAATGTCATCATTTTCAACCACCACATGGAATAAGCTGCATAGAAAAAATAAAAATAAGAATACAAGTTTATATATAAGCAAGAAATTTTAGAAAGACAAGTGTCTAGAAAAGAAAAGACTTTGTGAAAACCTGTTTCCAGCAGTAACTTCAACAGCTGTGAATAAATTTTCATCACATTCAAGCAACTCGATAAGTGAACCAAACACTCCTGTAATGCTGTACTCTCTGCAGATTCTTCTAACTGTACTGATTCCCCTCCTTATATCCTGTTATTTTTAAGATTAAAAAAAATTAATTCACTTTCATGAATATGACAACATTCAAATCTTCTAGAAGCAAATATACATTCAATAATATTAAGTATTAACATACCCCAGGAGTAGCATGATCCAAGGCTTTTTCTGCTTTCACAACTTCTGATTTAAGACGTTCGATTTCAGCTGTAATTTCATTTTCTGTCCCCCATAAAGCCCTAAAAAGGTTTAAAAAAATCAGCATCTGATACATTTAAAATGAAATACTGTTATACTCCAAACAAAAATAAAAAGGAACAAAGATATACTTTCGTTTATCATGAAGCTCATCTCTTTTTGACTTATGTTTATTGAAACCTTTGCGATAACTAGATATTCGAGCTTCTAAAGCATTTATCTCCTTTTGACGATTTTGGACATGGTCTTCTTGTGCTTCCATATCTCTCTCAAGTTTACTGATTTCATCATTCAGTAGATTCTCCTATTATAATATTACAAAAGGAAACCGGTTTATGGTTAAGATCTCACAAACATTATTTCCATTCATGTATATGTATATATATGTAATGTAATGATTACCTGCTTCTCATTTGAGGACAAAACCTTGTTATACTTATCAATATCTTTTTGTAGCCACTCATCACGTGCAGCTTTAGAACGAAATTGTGTTGCACGACCTTGTTTCTGATAGAGTACACTCAGCTGCTTTTCTTTTTTCATAATTCTGTCATAGAAACATATCAAGACCAAAAAAAAAGTCAAGAGAGAAATTAAGAAGAAACACTAAAAAGTCAAACAGAAAAAAGGAAAGTATGAAGAAATACTCTTTGGTGATGTCCTCTTCTGCTTTAACTTGTTTGTCATATAAAGGTTTGGTTTTGTTTAACTCTGATGTGGATTCCTTGATTTCTCTCTGAAGAACCTCGAGCTGCTTTCCAGCTTCATCCTACACGTAAAATTTTATATTAAAAAAGTAGAACAGCTTCCTGAAATATCCACAAGTTCTTCCACATCCTTGAATTTTGTATAAAATTATATGTGAAGTGATTTAAACTACTTAAGATATTGACTTTACAAAAGTGACTTTTATGATGAGATAGGTCTCTATTCGCATTGTTCTTATTTCTTTACTTTAGGGTTAAATGCAAGAAATAGAGATGTACTTTCAATTATTTATTTATTATAATGCCCTAATAAGAAACAAATTGGATGTACAATGCTACAATTAGGTAGATTATCCAAAGAACAATGCCTTTTTAATAAATAAATAAATAAAAAGTTACTCTGCTGTAATAGAAAGAACTAGAAGTAGACTGCTATAACACATACTATCTCTTTTTCTTTTAATCTCCAATGAAATGCAAGAAATTGCAATGTAATTTCATTGATCTGTTTATTATAACATATTAACATTAACATCATACTTAATCTTTTCCTATTACAGCATTGTATTTTGAAAAATCTACCCAATTATAAGAATTTCATCCATATGAGAAGCCTTTTTTACTGCTATAATTGAGTATATTTCTTAAACTCAGTTGTCATAATAAGAAAAAGATTGAAAGTAGAAGGCTATAATTGGGTAGATTTTAAAGAACATCGCATTAGTAAGAATAAAAAATCAATCCTTTAATAGAAATAAATGAGCATAAGATGCTATAATCCACAAATAAATCAAAGTACTTTGCTATTTTTTGAATTTAGCCCTATAATCTATGTGAAGTGTTTATGAAGCTAAAATAATACCTTTGCTTTACTACTCCCAATGATTTTCTCTTCAAGGTCTTTCACATCAAGCTCAACCTCAGTGTGCTTTTTAACAGCTATTGTTCGTTGTTTCTCTATTGTCTGTTTCTCTCTAGTCAAACCCTGAACTTCTCTGGTCAAATCTTTAAATGACTTGTCTAATTTCTTTACTTCTTCCTCTTCTTCTACAGATGCATTATACTTCCTAACTAACTCCTCAGATATAGCATTTCTCTCCTCATCCACCTGGCATCAAATGAGACATTTTTATACAACTACAAATCCAAATAAAATAAGAAAGAAAAGAAAAGAAAAGGATTTACCTCAACCAATTCCTTTCGTGCATCATTAAGTTCTTTATCATAAATGGTGTATTCTAGAGACTTCCTCTGTTTATCAAGCTGTTGATACTTTTTCAACTCTGCTTTCTCTTCATCCAGCTCTCTTAATCTCTCATCCAAGTATTGCACAACTTGAATTATCTGGTTTCTCTTGTTTCCTGATTATATACAAAATTCAAGAAAAAGCATCTGGTATATGAAAAGTATAAAATTCAAAACAATAACTTGCCAGTTTCTTGCATGATTTTCAAGCTTTCACGCCTTCTCTCTTCATAAACTCGGGTTCCACCAATTTCCTTCAGTAGATCAAGTCGTTCAGCATCTTTCATCAAAGTCAATGATGCAATCTACAATAAACTCATGGGAATTATTTATTATCAACAAGCTTAATTATATACACATCAAAATCAAACAAAGGAGATGCCATATTATTTCCTACCTTCCCCTGTTGCACAACATAATATGGATTGGAACGGGAGAACCCTGCACTTTCTAGAAGATTCATAACTTCAGTTTTCCTGCAATTTTGTTGTTTAAGCACTTATTAATATTAAGGGTAGAAGTGGAAAGATTATTATTCATATTGTGGTACTCACGTGATATGCTTCCCATCAAGAAAATATTCATCCTTTTTTGTCCCGATTGTTCTTCGTAGATGCACCTCCTCTTTATCAACCTTTAAGTGGTAGAAAAGAATTCAGCAACCAAAATAGAAATTAGGGAAAATGTTTTATTAAGTTCATAAGTAGGTGATGAAGATTTACTGGGATGCGATTGTCAGAGTTATCAAATACAATCTCAACAAAAGCTGAGAGAACTTGGTGTCCTGCTCCTTCCTGAGAAATGTTCATATAAAAAGTGGTGATTAATGTATCAAAAACCAACTAATATATGATTAATTGATAGGTCATGGAGACATAAACAAGGAGCATACATGGAGGAAGGCGTGTTTATCTTCATTACGTAGGTTATGAAAGAGGTCGCTTATCACAAAACGAATTGCTTCAGGAATAAATTAAGTAAGTTAGGATGTAATTCTCAATTAGTTAGAAATTAGATGATTGAAATATCATGCTACACATACCTGAAAAGAAGTTTGATTTGCCAGATCCATTCGCACCAACTGCAATATATGAACAAACAGTATTTATGACTTATGAGCATAAGAAGTAAAGATAAATATGAATGCACAGCAAATAAGCATAACAGAAAAAATGAATGAATATCATTACCAACACAGTTAACTTTTGGACTGAAATCATCAGTTGCAACTTGTTCTTTGTAGCTCTTAAACCCTTCGATGATGACCTTCAGTAGAACCCACACACAAATGTCAAAATCAAGATGAGAAAAGCGGAAAGAATAAGTCAAGAAAGAGGAAAACCAAAAGAGGTCAAAGGATCTAGAACAAATGGACAATTACCTGCTTTATGTACATTTTGATAAACCTAGCTTGTTTGAACCTACACATAATCATATTGAAAAGTGCATCAGTGTAAAAAAAACATAACTAATATAAAAACACAGCCTAATAGTGGAAGCAAGAAGTAAACTGGAAGTGCCTGCTTGACACAGTGAGTTTTTGACAATGACAGCCTTGAGATTGAGAATAGAAGATAATGAAAAATTCAAATTCGCTGATTCTATATTTGTAATCAATGGACAATGGATAATTTTATAAAGAAAATTAACCCTAAAATCGGCTATGAATCCTAATTAATAATCTTATAATTAATGGAAAACTCAATTACTCAAAACTGGAAAGTGGAAACATCGCACATACTGTTTCAGTTCTTGTCTTCTTGACAGCCTTGAAGTTTGAGTCTTCTAAAGTTTGAACAGTCAACAATGGAGAATCAGAGGACAGAGAAAGAATCAGATTGAGAAGCCGAAGGTATTTTTCAGAGAATGGAGAAGGAATAGAAGAAAAGGAAGTGAAGAACAATAGGTATTATTCAGAATCGGTTTTCAAGAATCGATTATCAGAAAATGAGAAGGAAGAAGAACTGTCGCTCACTTGTAAGAATCGAGACTTTCAATTTTGGCTGATGATTTTTGTGGTCTGCGTGACTATGAAAGGAGAAGAAAGAATCGAGATCTGCTAAAGTATCTAGTGGTAAGTAGGCCCTTTTAGAATTAGGGGCCCTAAGCCCTAACTTAGTTATGAACAAGGTAAGGCCGGCCCTCAAAGCATGAATGAGGGTATGAACAAATCTCGATGTCTATGTGTGATATTATCAAACAATAGCAACCAGTCAAATTCAATATGTTTTCATTTCAGCTTCAAGTTCTTCAGGATACCAAATCAAGCACAGAGCAAAACTATGTAGAAGAATTGGATTACATAGCATCCAACTTTCGGACTCAATTCATACTAAATTTTGCAAAAGATCATCTAAAAAACTACCATAATGGCAAAAATTTTGTACTCAGAAGTTCGTAAACATCCTGAATCAAATCACAAACACTACCATGTAAACCCTCGCTACATAAGACATATATTTGCACTTCATTCAGCAAAAATGATTGAAAGATACTAAACCTTCAAACATTCTGTAGTAAAAAGTTATCTAAATAACCTGGATCTACCAAAAAAACGTACAGTACTATTAAAATTGCATAAGTAACCTTTCCGTCAGACAGCAACGTCGCCAATAGCAACCTCTTTCAAGCATACAAGAAGAAAAAAACACGCACTTAACTTAGCAAAGACGATTAAAATGCCATGTTCAATTGTGCGAAAAAAATTATGTAGAATAACACGGACCAAACAACAAAATAAGTATGTAGAGAACCCTTATACAATGCGAAAGTGTCGCACCAAATTTAACAGATACAACCAAAAATGCCCTAGTTTAAACATATAATACTCAAAAATCGACTGAGAGTATCCGGATCAAACAGGTGAGCAATTAATTCTTCTAACTATACATTTTGCCCTAGTTTTGCTCTAGATTTAGTAATCATATTAAACTGTATGTTTACGAATAAATTGCGTGAGAAAAGGCAAACTTACTCGAGCAAAGAGAAAACGTTCTTCGAAGCTTACTGTTCCGGCGAGTAACCGTCGCAGACACTTCGGAGTATTAGCAGTGACAGTGTCGACTCAGCGAGTCGCTTGCTCCATTTCTCTTTCTATTTTCCCTCCCTTTGGTGTTCGCCGAATTGAGCGCAGTTCTGTAGGTCTACGCGTATTTAGAGGTTGTTTGGGATTTATTTTGAACAAAATGACTTTTTTAGGGATTGACTTTATGGTAACAATTCTCAACACCCCGCTCAAAAAAATAAATAGGTCGGTACGTTCCCTCATTTTACCATGGAAAGAGCAAAAAGAAAGAAGAGAGAGATAGATAGAGGGAGGAAGGGTAAGCGAGAGAGATGAGCGCTCCCAAGAATGGCCGCAGTTTGAAACCGCGTAGAGGGGGCGGTGTTCCATATGTCACATAGGCGTCATGTCATCCTTACCGCACTCTACTCCCTCTAGTCTAAAGTTTTGAAAACCATACGAATCGTTTTACAGTTTTATGAGTTTGATGGTTCAACTGGTCCAGTTGGACCGGTCTCAAAAACCAAAAACCAGACGATGTTATAACATTTAAAGTAAATTACACAAATCGTCCCTCGTGCATGTGTCAAAACGCACGTTTAGTTCCTATTTTCAAAAATTAACTTGAACCGTCTATTGGTTTGTTTTTTTCTTGCAAGTTTAGTCCATCCAAACATAAAAAAACTATTCTGTCTTTAACATTTTCTTTTTAAATTTTCTTTTATTCATTTAATACTTTTAGATTAAAAACAAAAGAAAAAAAAATATCTTCACCCTCGTTCCCCCTTTTCTTTCCTAACTCTACATTCTGTAACACCTCAAATTTTAAACCGAATTTTTTCAATATTAAATTATCCAAAATATTGTTCATAAACCAAATCATTGGAAAAACGCAAGTATTAAATACAAATCATCATCACAAAATATTATAGTATCACAAAATGTCTAGTAACAAATCTCTCAATGAGTGTGTACAATCAGACCTGCGCCTTCCTGAGATCCTCAAAAGTACCCGAAACACGTATAATCAACAACTGTAAGCACAAAGCTTAATGAGTTCCCCAATATATCACATATAATACAACATAAATAAACAGTTATGGGTTATCAGCAACCATGGGGACTATCAGCAATCCTAGTTGGAAAACAACACGCCATATGAGTTACTAGCAACCCTGGAGACTACATGAAGTCTCGGTTTGTAACGCCTGGTTCCGTGTAGGTATTTTAAGTAAGAATTCTCATTTTTGCAAAGGGAATCGACGAGTTGGAGGCCCCAAACTCGTCGAGTATAAATGGGAATTTAGACGCGGGGTAAGAAACCTACTTGACGAGTAGGACTGTCAGAGTGAAACCCTAATTTTCAGGGTTTGCACCCTATTTAAGGACCTTAACACCTCATTGTAGCCTCCCTCATCGCCTCCCTCAGTCCAGTAAACCCTAATTTGTGAGTGTGAGCTCTATTGAGTGTGTATGAGTGAAAAGAGAGTGATTCTTTGGTAAATTCTTGAAGGAGTTGAAGTTGGAGGTGCTTGGTTAAAGGAAGAAGCTTTGGATCCAAGGGTTTCTCTGTCAAGGCGGCCATATTAAGGTATAAAGTCTATACCTTTACTATTCATTTAATAGATCTCTTCATGGAGGAGTTTAGGGCTTTTAGTAGCTTGTTTTGGAACCATTCATGGATGCAAGCATGTATTGGAGTCATGGCTTCGGATCTAGAGCCTTTGAGGGACTCCATGGCATAAAGGTGCCAACTTTACGGCCATGGGAGTCCCATGCAACTTCTGAACCACCTTTTTAGGGCCTTTTGAGCTGAATAACTCATGCATGGACGTAAAGTTAGTAACTTTACGTGATATATCGACTCTGGAGGACTAGATCTATGGATTGGATGCATTGAGCCCAACAGAAAGTGACTTAATGGATATGGACTATGGGGGACTCGACGAGTTGTTCACACAACTCGGCGAGTTGGGTCGTGGTCCCCAACCTTTTCTGTTATTGAGTAAACTCGTTGTCTATGAGATGACTCGGCGAGTTGGCCATGGTTTTGAGCTATAAAGATCGAGGAACTCGACAAGTTCAAGGAGGGACTCAACAAGTTGTGAGTGAAATGTCCCGACTCTGTTTGAAGGGGAACTCGACGGGTTCATGAAAGAACTCGACGAGTAGGATCGTGACTTCTAGAATTTCATGGATCAAGAACTCGACGAGTTGATGGACCAACTTGGTGGGTTAAGTTAACCAGGATGTTGACTTTTACCAGAATGTTGACTTTGACATTGACTTTGACCAAGGTTGACCCTTAGAGGTTATGAAGTATGGAATGGGTTCAAAAAGGGTTGAGTGGAGTCCATATATGGACGAGTGTATGTGAGGGGTAGAATGGTCTTTTACCCCAGTGAGGACTTATGGTTAAGTTGTGAGAATCCCGAACTTAATTAGTTTATATAATGACTAGTAGCTCGGGGAGCCGGAGGATTAGTAGTTCGGGGAGTTGTCAGCTAGCAGCCAGAGGATTATCTGCGGGACTTCAGCAGTGCGAAGTCTCCTCACTGTTTGTATGGGTTGAAGGTTTTGGATTAATATCTAAGTCCATAACTATAATTGGTAAGACTTGACCCAACCCGACATGGTCCATTTGGGTTGCATGGCATCAGGACAATTGGATAGACAAGATGAGGAAAAAGGATACTAGTGATTTATATTAATATATTATAAGTTCTAATATATTAATATATAATCATATTATTTAATTAGTATTGATCAAGAATTAATTTGGAATGAATTAAGTGATCAAAAGGAACTAATTAAATATGGACTCTTAGATATATATGTGTGATGGCCCAAGTTCATTTAGGTTGGGCTAAGCTTTCATGGATAGTCCATGTAGTTTTTAACCCATGGATCATAAGAAATGAAAGGTCATGGGTATTAGGGTTTAACCCTAATCTCCACACTATATAAAGATGTCCTTGGTTGGTTAAATTGACACAAAAGTGGGTACACTAAGAGGGTAGTCGATTTCACTAGAGAGAACCAAGTATCCTTATTCTCAAGGTTATTCCAAGTGTTCATGGTGTTGTGTGAACCATTTGAGGTGTCACACTTGGGGCACTAGGCACTCAAGCTTCATGAAGACAAGTTACAATAACAAGGTATGTATTTTATCTAGTTTTTGTTATCCTAGTACATAAGATTGTATGCTAGTTAGGGTAATACCTTGGAATATTCATATTTGCATATATAATAGAGAAAACATATATCCAAGGTATTTAGGTTTGTATGTACACTTAGGAGTGTTAGAATGCTCAAAACCCAACAGTGGTATCAAAGACATGGGTTGTTTTCTGTTATATTGATGCAATTGTTTTATTTTCAAAGTTGGAAAAAAAAAGGAAAAAAAAAACATGACGTTTGTCAAATTTTAAGATAATTACTTGTTTTTGTGAAAAACTATTTGTAAAATTTGAATCATTTGCTATATGAGTTGAATTAGGTCAAATTTAGTAAAAGATAAACTTATATGATTATTTTATTAGTTTTAAAAGTTTGATCTAAAGAGTGTTTTTATTAAACCTCCATAAGTTATGAATATGAAAAGGTTTTAAAAAAATTGATTCAAAGTTTTTTATGGAGTTACAAAATTTTGTGTTAATGTTTTAAAGAATTCCATCACTTATTCTCAAGTTATGGAACATGAAAAGTTTCATCATAAAACAAGCATTTAACTCCATAAGTTATGGATTACCAAAAGTTTTATGAGTTAGTTTAGATTAACGAAAAAAATTGTGTTTTAGTTGTTTTCAATCCTAATTAATCTAGAGGTAGTTCATAAAATGTGTTTTTGTAACTTGTCCTCAAGTTATATAAAAGGTCACATTTATGAATCTTAAAACTCATAAAAGTGTCATAGGTTACATAAAAAAATGAAGAGTCTTTTTTATTAAATAGTATTATGACTCCATAACTTGTCCTCAAGTTATGGATTTTTAAGAATCACTTCTTTAAAAGTGTTATTAAAGAATAAGAGGTTACATAAAAAATGAAGAGTCTTTATTTTAATGAACCATTAAACTCATAAGTTATGAAATGAAAAGTTTTGAATAGTTTCAAAAACTTGCCCTAAAGTTTTGGAATTTGTAAAGTTTTCCCATGAATACTTTAATTCCAAGGTAAGCCCTTAGAATTTTAAAAGTTAAAATTCAACCATTATACTTTATAATATTATAAGTTAATATATATATATATATATATATATATATATATGTGTGTGTGTGTGTGTGTGTGTGTATAAGAGCAAGTCGTCTTACCATTAGTAGGCCTCATTTACGAAGCCGATCTATAAGGGGGGGGGGGGGGGTATAAGGTTACTACCTATAAAATGACAGTTTAATGATTGTCCACTCTCACCCACCGCTTCCTTTACTGGTGGAGGGTCGTTAGCCGAACAAGTAGGACAAGGACTATAATTCTCCCTTCATTAAAAGTATTAATGATAAATATAAAGTAACTAAAATGTTTTTATAAAACCCAATCTTAGTTACTTTCTGAAAATGTGAATAAGGTGTTAATCCATGAAATTACACATTTCACTTTGTTTAAGTCGGTTAGTGGAGCGTGTGTGGTTAATCGGCGCACTAACTCATATTTAACAAGGTAGGCAAAGGGTAACTTATTGTTTATCATAGTATCGATAGAGCGTGTGTGGTTAACCGGTACATCGATTGAGGGGTAAACACTTAAGAGTACCAAGTAATTTGCATGATTACTTCACACCTTATTTTGTGATCCTCGGCATCCCAGTCACAAAACCTGAAGGGTACACTCGATATTGAAACATGTCATTGAACAGTTCAATGAATCTCAAAAGATCTAGGAGTTTCAAATAAAAACCTAACAAATTATTTCGTTTTCGTGGTGAAAATTGGTGAATCGTCATTCACCTACCTTCAAATATTCTATAGCTTGGATTACGACATCCCTCTTCCAAGTTATAAAATATTGTGTTGGGTCCTAGCCTTAATATTTTATATTTGGTGTTATATTAAGGACTTTAAATCAACTATCTTGAATATCTCTCAAAAGATGTCTAATTCAGACATCTATGATCTTCCTAAATCTCTTGGAACTTCACTTCCTCCATCTCCTCCAATTATTCTCCCTAACCCACAAGTTCAAGGTCATTCAAGCCCTATTGGCAAGCAAAGTCTATGTGTGCTCACATCTTGGAGATAAAGTCACATATTGACAAGCTAGGAGAGTTGGGTGTCAAAGTCTT